TAAATAAATATATATATATATATATATATATATAATATAATATAATATAAAAATACATAAAATATATACATACGTGTTAGGTAAATACATTTTATATATGTTATTTGCATTAATTAATTTGTTATAATACCATATGTAATTGTGTCTGTATAGCTGGAGGTTATGCTAGAGGACAACCTGAACTTGCCAGGTAATGGCAAACTATATTCAAAAGTGATAAGCTGGGTGCAGCACAGCCTGTGGAAGAATGGAAATCCCCTGGAGAAACTGATGGAAGAGGTCAGTATTATGGCTTTTTCTGTACCCATTCCTTTCACTTTGCTCATGTCTCCTAGACTGTTCAGTAGTTGACTAAGAGTTCCCCCCTTCCCCTGCCCCCAGAGTTTTTGCCCTTAACCTTGTAAATTTTGCAGTACGTGCTCCTCAAAATACTGAAAAACTGGTTTTCCAGGTGAGCCAAAGGTTAAGTCTGTTTTTCCCCCTTCTCTTTCTATCCTTGTACTCCTTGTATTGACCTGAATTGTCTTGGTAACTCAACATTTTCTCCCCAGCAGGGCGTTTTGGACTATTGTTAATTTGATTCTAATGAGTGCTCCTCCCCATTGATCTCCCCATCTCTCCTGTAGGTTTATTAATACACATCAACAGCAGATTTGTCCAGCCCTGAAGAAGAATGCAAGATCCCAACCATCAGTGGTACTAAGTCCACCTACCAAAAGCCATGTGCTTCCATCTGTGCACACTGTTCCTGAGAGCCTTGCAACTTTTTTTCCAAACCCACTGCGCTGCAATCATTTGTTTAGATAACTCTGACCCAAAGCGAAGTTACTTATAATAGGAATGATCTCTTCTTCCAGCAATTTCCACAATCACAGTGACCGTAGACGTGTAAAAGGTCATGGCTCCCTCAAGGTCCAGGCAGCACACAGTTGTCAAGGACCTCCCTCATTGCAGCTGACTCCATTGCTTCAAGGAACAAGGCAGAACATTGCTATGTTCTTGTTATGGAAACACCCACATGGGTCTTGTTGGTGTTTTGTTGTTGCAGGTGCAAACGCTGTACTACTCAGCAGATCACAAATTGCATGATGGGAGCCTGCTTGAGGGGCAGGCAGAAGTCTGCAGCTCTGAGGATGACCACATCCATTTTGTGCAGGTACATGACTGGTTTTCAGTCCTCCCCTTACAGTACACTGCATTCTCCACTGTAGAATAGCATGGCTCCCATTTTAATACGTTTCATGTGGTTTGCTCTAAAAGGGAGTTCTGTGAACCACTACTTGTCTTAGCTGTCTATGCACTGTGGAAGCCCCCTTAAATGGTGGCATTGGCACTGGAGGGAATGGGTGTAGCTTTTGGCCCCAAGTCTGTATGCATGCAGTAGAGGTAGGGGATGAAGTTTGGGCAGGTTTAGAGGTGCCTGGTTTGGTTTTGCAGAAGAAGCCTCCTCGAGAGAGAGACGAGATGAGCTCAGGTGCCTCTGGCAGCCTCTCTCCCTCCAACAGCCAGTTCAACAAGCACGAATGGAAGTATATTGCCTCAGAGAAGACCACCAGTAAGTCTATAGTGCTTCATTTGAGCACCTTTTTTGTCTTTCTGAAACTTTTTTTTTTTTTCAGGTCTGTTGTTTTATCGGAATATATTTTAATATGTAATTTACTATTACAATCAGTAATAATAATTCTTATTAGTGTTTAAAGGGGTCATGAACTGCAAATTTTTATTATTTTATAATGTTTTCTTGAGGTTCACTTATGTTAGTGTGATTTTCTTTATTTTTTATTTTATTTTTACATAAAAAAATGTAATTTAGAAGTAATAGGCTATTTTCGATCCTGTTTTTGAGTCTCTGCAGAACGGCCTGTTTTTATAGGCTAAATGGAAATTGCTGACATCACCTCACACACCCAAGTTCACGTCAGCTCTTTCATTAAAAATAAGATGGAAAGATAAAAAATGTTTAGATTCCATGGATCTAGTCTTTGCATCTGTTTGTTTGGTGTTTGAATCAAGCGGTCCTAGAAATGCGGTCCTGAAACTGCAGCTTCTGGTATTGTTTTTGTTCAGACCAATGTGAAAATCGACCCATGTTTTTACTAGGGATGTGCGGGTCTAGTCGACTAAACGGTACAGCTCCTACTAGTCGACACTGAAAACAATAGTCGATTACACGACAGAAAAAAAAAACTTACTTTATCATTCAAATTACCGTCATTTTAACATTGCATTTAAAACATTTTAAATAAGTTAAAATAAAACGTTTGAAAAATAATACATTATTTTTAAAAGTTTATCTGGGCGGAAACAACATTTTTACCTCAGACCTCACATGCGTTTTCTTCGTGTCAGTTGGGGCGAGTTCAAAAATGACCATGCGAAAGACAAGAAGGTGTGGGATTATTTTGAATTAGAAGGAAACGGAAAAGTTTTGTGTAAACTGTGTAATGTCAAATTGTCTTACAATAAATAACTCTACTGGAGTGATGCGTAATCATATTTAATACAGGCATGTAGGCGTTAACTTAGAGGCTGGCCAAAGCCAGCAAATGTCAATCACGTCATTCACTACAACCTGCGATCCCGTCCACGCCGTCTATTCCTCTAACGAAGACCCACTTCGGTGGTGGTGCGGGATGTCCAGGCGCTTTCTGAAACTCTATCGGCTTGCTTTTCGTTATCTCTGCGTGCCTGCGACTTCAGTTCCTGC